CCTCTACCGTCTTCCCCTGAATTCCCCTGAATAGAACACGTACCATCGTTATCATTATCGCTGTATCTAGACTGAAATGTGCCCCAAATACAGCTATAAGGACCCTGCATTCTATTCTGGAGAAGACGGCCGCTGATCTGCTGCGGTCACCCTCTTGTCTTTTTCGTACCCACCTCTCCTTTTTCTTGTGATGGCATGTTCACACTGGGATTTCTTTTTTCTTTTTTCTTTTTTCTCTTTTACACTGGGAATTTTTGCATGTAATTTGACTGTAGTTACAGCATGCCTTGCATGTACCTGACCACAAATGCATCCAAGATCAGTCGAAAAAATCTACGTGTGAGTATGCCTTAAACCGCCCCTCTCCCTGCTGCTAGGAACTTCGGAGGACCGGTAGCACAGGCTCATGAGGGCTACTGGTAGCAGCATAGTGCGGAGAACTGCCAGTGTGGGAAAAATTGGAAAATGCGCTGAATTGCGGCTGCAATGTATTTCGCAGTCAATTTTTTTATTTTTTTTTAATAATTTTCAGGACCAAATCTATGGGCCCTCCAATTTTCAGATTTTTTGACACAATCTTCTGAGCGCGAAAAATCACTGAAATTGGAGTCCTTTTTTTCGGAGTTTTTTGCCCTGCAAAAATCGCTTAGGCCCACACGTGGCAGTGGGAAGATGAAAAATGCGCCACAAGGATTTATTTCATGGTTTTTTTTTTTTCTTTGCCCCCTTTCATTTGTCTGAGATTTTTCCTGGAAAAGTTAGAACTTAGAACCCTTTTTTTTTTTTTTTTTTGGAAAAATTAGAACCTAATCTACGGGACCTCAAATTTTTAGATTTTTCTGTGCATTCTTTCTTCTGAACGCGAAAAATCGCCAAAGTTGGTGCTTTTTTTTTTTTTTTTTTGGAATTGCCACGACCTCTCGCTTTCCTCGGGTCTGCTGGCTCCAGAAGGCCCGGTCGGCCTTTGTGAGGGACGCCGGACCCGGTTTCCGGTTTTTATAAGGATTTAAAA